CATTTGGTGGATTATTTTAACTTTTGGTTAAAATTTGACAGATGAAAAGTTATCGATTAACCCTGCTATCCGAGCATGGTTATTTCTGACAGACAAGAAGTTAAATTTTGACAACCGTGGCTCGAAAACCGGTCGATCGACAGCACGGGGATTTTCGAACATAGAAAATAACTTTCGAAATGTCACTTTTAACCACGAGTTAAATTTAACTCGGCAAATGGTTCACAGCCTTAGTGTCGTCATGCGTCATGCACTTTCGAGATTGAGCAAGACCTTATAATTGATTGTTTGGTAGACCACCCATCGCACCGGATCCTTTTGAGACGAACTAGTGCAACAGAAGAGTGCAGATTGGATCGTTGATGATGGGGTGTACTCACGGAATAGAATGCAATTGCATTTTTGATTGCATTGATCTGTTCCTATAAATCCTATAGGCAATCGTCCAGACCTGATGGAATAGTTGGGGTTAATACGTATCGACATCCCCTAATAAGTACTGGGACTTGTATGGACATCCCTATAAAGTCCTGTGAATTTCCCATCGAAATCCATACCAATTGAAACCAATGACGGGCAAGGATACCTAAGGAAAAACGTAGGAGAAAACGATTAAATTTTCATCCCGGAAGACCGGGCTTCTAACCTGGCCAAAATACAAAACCCATCACTCACACCCCCTATGATGGGGTTTTTTTTCTTTATCTTTCGTTCTGCAGAACAACCTTGTGGCACAATATTGTCGTCGTTCAGAGAATTTTTGTCCATTCAGTTCGCCGATCGTTTATTCGATTGAGCCTGTACAAATAAATTAATTAATATAAAAAAAAGTTCGCCGATCGCATTCCGCACCGTACCATCGTATTGGACGATCTTACAGGCATTTGACCAACCGTTGCTGGTGGGAACCCATTATGGCCATCTTGACTGTCGTATCGACCCTCTCGATCGACCATGGTGTGGAAGAACTCTGTTGGCGTGAAGCTAATCTGGACGAAACCTCGAGCCGCTGGGATTTTCGCTACAAATCGGATGAGATAAACTTAGTTTCATGGTGCAGGCAATACTCACATCATTTTTCCTTGGAATCCGAGCCCAATGTGAAGCCCAATGCAGTAAACAAAGAAGTCAACATTAGCAACGATTGGTAAAACGTCAACTCTCGACAGTGATGCCATTTTATATTATGTTGATTGTATCTTACTTGCCAATGTTTGTCCTAAATAGCCGAATAGTATGCAATGCTGTGTTTCGGCCAAAGTGTGCAGAGTTGATTACCCCTTGGTTGCTTATTACAACGACCCTATAATGCTCGTTTACGAAAACTTTGAACGTCTATTAGTTTACAAAAACAATAACAATAACAGTGTATTGTTTCAGTTCATAAAACGCTCTTGTTTTGGAGACAGTCACCTGGAAAATCCATCGTGATCCGCGTCCAAGCTGGCTAAAGCGATGAATTTTCCGTATGGCTCGTGTTCCAAACGCACAGGGAAACCTTGACGACGAATCGGAAGCCTCAAAGTAAACACCGGAGTGGAACTGTCAACCCTTAGCTCTCTGGAAGAAGCAACCCAGGTATGTCCGATCGCGATTTGAGTAAAAAGCATGATAACGCCCGTAGTACAGGGGAAGGCTTACAGGCATCCCACGCCACTAGGCAAGCAAATCGATCACTCAAGCAGAATACCGTAGCTAGAACCCGCGCTCGAAAGCTGTATGACTACCTGTTGATGATGAAACTTATGTGAAGGGCGACTTTGAACAGCTTCCAGGACCAACATTTTACAAATGCAAACGCTCGAGGAGGTGTCCCTGGCAGATTCAAATTTGTTTTTTTTTTCGGATAAATTCGTACGCAAATATATGATTTAGCAGAACATTTTCAGATGCGGCCAGAAGTCAAAGGTCTTCATCACTGAGAAAAGGATGAACTCGGAGGTTTACAAAACCGAAGGTCTCCAGAGTCCAGAAGCGAATTCTGGCCTTCATCCAGTCACATGCTGGTCCGGTGACATTTTGGCCGGATCTTGCGAGTTGTCATTACAGCCGGGAAGTACAACAATGGTACAATGACAACGGAGTCCAGTTTGTTCCGAAAACCCTCAATCCGTCCGATTGTCTCCAGTTCAGGCCCATTGAAAACTACTGGGCAATTATGAAGAGGAAACTGAAGGTACAAGGTACTGTCATCAAAACGATAGCTCAGATGAAAAATTGGTGGGATAAAATCGCCACAACAGTGGACGAGATCGTTGTGCGCCACTTGATGGGTAAAGGGAAAAATTCGAGAATTCCTGCGAAACCACGACGAATTCATTCATTTCGTGTTTTATTCTTAAAATATAAGGAATAAGGCTTGTACTCGAAAAAAAAATGCACCATTTTTATCCGTGTGTAACTTTTTTATCCGTGGGTAAAAATTGATGAAAATCTGGGTAAAACTAGTTTGGAGTGAATTGTTTACATGAGCAAAATTTCATAATAATCGGTTCAGTGGTTATTGAGATGTCATCGAAACAAGAAGAAAATCGTCGGAGAAATTTGCGCGCCGTCATGGAAAATCCGACTGCGACCATGAGATGGATCGGAAGACAACTGGGAATCACCCATACAACTGTGTCTCGGGTGGTAAAATCGTTCAAGGAGTCCCAGACGACCGAGCGGCGGGCTGGAAGTGGGAGAAAATCGAAGACAGCTGACCCTGTGAAGGCCCGGAAGGTGTTGGATTATTTCAAGCGTAATCCGAACCTTTCGATTCGCGACGCGTCTCTGAAGGCAAAGTGTTCCACCTGGTTCGTTCAGCAAACCATCAAACGAGCTGGGCTTCGTGTATTCAAGGTCCGGAAGGCACCGAACCGGCGTGATCAACAAAACACGTAACCGATGTGTGTGGTTATGGATGACGAAACCTACATCAAGGCAGACGCAAAGCAGATACCGGGGCTGGAGTTCTACGTTGCCAAATCACGGTTTGATGTTCCGGAAGACATAAGGAAGATGAAAGTGGACAAATTCGCCAAAAAATACTTGCTCTGGCAGGCCATATGCCAATGCGGTAAACTGAGTAAACCGTACATCACAATGGGTACCATCAACAGCGAAATTTACCGCACCGAGTGCCTCCAGAAGCGTCTGTTGCTCTTCCTGCGGTCCCACGGAGGCGAGACATTATTTTGGCCGGACCTGGCATCATGCAATTACGCGCGATCGACGTTGGATTGGTACATAGACAATATAACGTTGTTTTTGTACCAAAAACAGCCAACCCCCCAAATTCACCAGAGATTTGTCCGGTGGAAAGATGAAGGCCAAAGTTCTAAAATCGTCCAAGGTGTTTAAGAACGAGCTGGAGTTGAAGAAAGAATGGATGAAAGTGACCAAAAAGGTTGGCTCCACCATTGCACAAAATGTAATGAGGGGTCTTAAGGGAAAGGTGCGGGCTTTCAGCGATGGAAAGGAAATTGAATAAAGTAATTATGCCGAACTATAATCCATATGTATTAGTTCATTCCCTGAAAGTTTCAAGAAAATCCGACTTAAAATAATTTTTTGGCGAGCACTTTTGCCTGGTGCATTTTTTCCGAGTACAGGCCTTAGTATGGACTTGAGCGAAACCCGTTTTCAAATCCATTAATTCAAATCCGAAATAAACCCAAAAGGTGTTGTTGTATTACTAAGTGGACCATGTTTCAAGTAAGTATTACAAGTTCGGAAAAAAATACAATACATTTTAATGGACTCTAAAAAGAAATCCCATTTAAGCAACATGAATTTTCATCTCAATGTTTGAGCAAATAGCTGAGATTTTTCAAATTTCTGGTTTTTAGAAAAATGTCTAGAGCTTGAACATATTCCTATACCATTTTTCATCTTCTTAGACTTGGAGAACTTTCAAGATCGCGAAGTAAAAAAACCAGGATATTGGGAGTAGAATTTTTTTTCGAAACCTCAGAAAATGAATAGTTTGAACAAAAAAGCAATTGACGTTCTTACCTCTGCACAATAAATTACTGGAAGCTTTGTAACTACTAGAGGCCTTATCATCAACTCCGACTTCGAACACTAGCATCCGTTCGATCAAGATCCGCCGTACGTTCAGTGAACGAATGCAACCGCAGTCTCTCTCATCTTCGCACCACCAGCAACAGCAGCAGCAGCAGCAGCAGCAGCGATAGTATTTTATCGCAAAAAAAGCAACTCACATCCATAAATAATCGCACAGAGAGGAAACGCTTTGCATAAATGAATGCACAAGCCAGACGGAGCCACGATACAGTCATACAACGTATCCCCTCCCACATCTAAAACATGCTTCCCATATATCCGTTAGATGAAGGAAGGCGTGAAACCGATCCGATTCGATCCGTGCAACGGATGGCAACGAGACGCCTGGCCCGGCTACCATAAGAAAAAAGCAGACGATACTAACTTGTACCGTTTTTGTTCAACTTGGAGTGTGTTATCGCGGAAGGAAGTAGGCAGCAGACTTCTATCGGTTGGAACGTGCTTCCACCTTATACAAATAGGTACATACGAAGTGCAAGTCTTGACAAGAACAAGCCCACATTGGCAGGTGATTAATTTTTACGTTGAAAGTCAAGATTTGAATGCTCATCTGGTTTTCCAGACTTACAAACAATCTCCCCACCAAAATTTCTGCACCGCAGAGCCACACTCTGCGTTCTTACTGAAGATACACACCATCAGTAAAAACACAGAGTGTGGCTCTACGATGCGGAAATTTTGCATTTGTTTAGGGAGATTAGTAACTAGTGACATTAAACTATCTATTTTACGATGGGTTAACTAAAAATTCTACTAGATTTTACGCTAGCATTCTAGAATAAACAGTGCCTATTTATGCACCATTCCCCCTTCTCCCGTAGGAAACGTGCGTTGGATCCGGGATCGACTCACTGGCACCGTAAGCTCAACAGTTTCTTCGACTTCTCCCCCGCTTCACATCCTTCTTTCCAACTTGGGGGCTTGGCACTTACCACCATCTGGATCGCTGTCTGTAGCTCGACGACCATGATGAGGGTAATGATGATGAGTCAACCCGTGTACGATTTTCCCGGCTGTGAGCAACACAAGGGCCACAATCAGCATCCATCGTGACAGGCTTCTCGAAACCCTTGTCATCCTATCGGGTCTGCAGTGCACTCTTTGTGTATCTAAACGGTGACAAAGATTTCCCACGCCTAGATCTTCTTCGGAAAACGATTCATCAATCGGCACGGCTCATGGCTAACGGAACGAACGTCCTCCTCCCACGCACAGTTATCGCCGACGGCGAGAGGGCCAACGCGATACTTTTTGGCTCAATTACAGCCGAAATCTCTAATTAAGTCCAACTCTCACGGTCACTACTATATGCTCTCCTCCACCTTAACCTAGATTCTACAGAAATCTCAACCACACGTTGGAAAAAAAAATCCAATAGGAACCTTCACTCCCGCGACCGTCCGAGAATATGTAACCGCCACCGCTATCGGATAGTGCACGAACGGGTTAAAAGGATTACTTGCTGCCACTACTGACTGATGCTCCGGCTCCGGTCTGAGCATCCGGTCGAGTCGAGTTTCATATTGCTACTGATGAATGAGCATTGGACCCCAGAGCGCTAGGCGATCCTTCTGCTGCTTCTTCACTCGCTCCGCAACATGATATAGCTTATAACACTGACTGAGAGCGCAGCGAAACTTTGTTGCTCGTCTTGAACTCTGGCTGACTGCGGCGGCGGCAGCTGAGAAGAAAGAGTTTTGTTGATGGCCCCCACCGACCAACCGACCGACCGACCGACAAACCGCTTGCCACCCTTTTAAACGTTGGTGGATAATTCGCGCACTTGTCCGTCTGTACCTCCACTGCTTGGTAGGTACATACTTGAATAGCATCTGGGTGCCATGTGTGCGCGATTGGTCCCATGCTGAGAGGAGCACCATGCGTCTCCATGGATTGAACACATGGATGGGAAAATTTAGTTTATGGACAGCCGTTTATGGAGTTCAATAATCGCAGTCGGATCGGAGATGCCCAAGGAGTCAATTAATGCATGACGCCGTAAATGGATTTAATTTAATCAATCGTCTTAGTCAGTCAAGGTTCATGAGTTAAATAGATTAGCGATAGATTATCAATCTAATCAGCAGACAAATGCGTTACCGGATGACTGTCAAAACTTATCGAAATGAGTAAAATGTGAAGAGTTTATCCCACAAGTGTTAGATTGCCAGTGGGACGTGCTTTTTGCTTGTCTGAGGAAGGTAACATTACTATGAGTTGATTTTTCCATGTTATATAGCACTCATGGTGTTCCTCTGACCGTTATTATGGAACAACTATTGCCAATTCAGAGAAAAATTTGTAATTGACGACAGATTATCAGCTTTAATAGATATTTGTACAACATCACATTTAAGATAAGACATAATCAACAATAGTACGCCACAATACTCGGTTTGCGGCTGCCGCTTTCCATCCTCGGTCATGCCCAATGCTGGCTAGATCACACTCTACCTGGTCCGCCCATCGTGCTCTCTGCGCTCCACGCCTTCATGTGCCAACCGGATCAGTAGCGAACACCAACTTTGCAGGGTTGTTGTCCGGTATTCTTGCAACATGCCCTGCCCCCCGCATCCTTCCGGCTTTGGCCATCTTCTGGATGCTGGGTTAGCCGTAGAGTGCAGCGAGCTCGTGGTTCATTCTTCACCGCCACTCACCTTTCTCCTGCACACCGCCGAAGATCATCCTTAGCACACGTCACTCAAAAACTCCGAGTGCTTGCAGGTCCTCCTCGAGCATAGTCCATGTCTCGTGTCCATAGAGGACCACCGGTCTTATTAGCGTTCTGTACATGGTAGATTTGGTGCGGGGGTGAATCTTTTTTGACCGTAGTTTCTTCTGGAGCCCGTAGTAGGCACGACTTCCACTGGTGATGCGCCTTCGTATTTCACGACTCACATGTCAGCCATCAGTAAGGATCGAAGGTAAACGAATTCCTCCACTACCTCGAAAGTATCCCCGTCTATCGTGACATTACTTCCTAGACGAATTCTGTCATGTTCGGTTCCGCCTACTAGCATGTACTTTGTTTTTGACGCACTCACCACCAGTCCGACCTTTGCTGCTTTGTGTTTCAGGCGGGTGTATAGTTCTGCCACCGTTCCAAATGTTCTTGCGATGTCGTCCGCAAAGCACACAAATTGACCGAATTTCGTGAAAATCGTACCCCGGCTGTTGAACCCCGCTCGTCGCATTACACTTTCTAGAGCGATGATGAAGAGTAGGCATGAGAGTCCGTCACCTTGTCGCAGTCCCCGGCGAGATTCGAATGAACTGGATAGTTCACCCGAAAGCCTTACGCAGTTTTGCACACCGTCCATCGTTGCTTTGATCAGTCTGATCAGCTTCCCAGGAAAGCCGTTCTCGTCCATGATTTTCCATAGCTCTGTGCGGTCGATACTGTCGTATGCCGCCTTAAAGTCGATGAATAAATGATGCGTTGGGACCTGGTATTCACGGCATTTCTGGAGAATTTGCCGTACGGTGAAGATCTGGTCCGTTGTCGATCGGCCGGCTTGATAACTTCCCACGAACTAGGTCATTTTAGGTGATAGACGACGGAAGATGATCTGGGATAGCACTTTGTAGGCGGCATTCAAAATGGTGATCGCTCTGAAGTTCTCACATTCCAAATGGTCGCCTTTCTTGTGAATGGGGCAGATTACCCCCTCCTTCCACTCCTCCGGTAGCTGTTTTGTTTCCCAGATCCTGATGAGTTCGGTTGCGATACCATCCTTACCAGCTGCTTTGTTGTTTTTGAGCTGCTGAATGGCATCCTTAACTTCCCTCAGCGTGGGAGTTGGGTCAGCTCTGCCCTCTGCTGCACTGACTTAGTCGTTTCCTCCATTGCGCTGGTCTCCCGTGCCTACGTTCTCCTCGCCATTCAGGTACGCATCGAAGTGCTGCTTTCACCTGTCAATCACCTCACGTCCGTCCGTCAAGAGACTCCCGTCCCTATCCTTGCACATTTCGGCTCGCGGCACGAAGCCGTTGCGGGATGCGTTGAGCTTCTGGTAGAACTTCCGTGTTTCTTGGGTTAGCAGTTCCATTTCCTCGAACTCCGCTTCTTCCAGGCGGCGTTTTTTCTCCCGAAAGATGCTGGTCTGCTGTTTCCGCTTCTGTTTATACCGTTCCACGTTCTGTCGGATTCCATGCTGCAGCATTACCGCCCGCGCTGCGTTCTTCTCCTTCAAAATAGCTCTGCACTCCTCTCCGAACCATTCATTCCGTCGACTTCTAGAGGGGGCACATCGAGCTCGCCCTCCTCTGGCAACGTCGATAATGTCGGAGAAGTGCCGTCAATCAGAAAGTGGTAGATTTGCGATTCCGTCTGCTGTGGTGATCTCCAGGTGTAACGATAGGGGAGGCTGTGTTGGAAGAAGGTGCTACATATGGTCATGTTCTTGGAGGCGGCAAAATCTATGAGTCGTAGGCCGTTCCCGTTCGTCAGCTGGTGGGCGCTGAACTTTCCAATCGTCGGTCTGAATTCCTCCTCCTGGCCTACACAGCAAAAAAATAATTTTGATATCACATCAAAGTGGATGCACTACAATCATGTCGAAAATTTCATGTAATTTTTATGACCACATAAATAAACAAATGCAGTAAAAGCAGCGTAATGTCAGTTCATGCATTGTATTAATGATAATTTTGTCCTTTTTAGCAAGTAATATTACACCATATTTTCGACATGATTGAAGTGCATCCACTTTGACGTGATATCAAAATTATTTTTTTGCTGTGTACCTGAGCGTTTAGGTCTCCTATGATGATCTTGACGTCGTGGCTGCGTCCTTGTCATCATCAGTGCTTCCGGAGTGAGGGCTGTGCACGTTGATTATGCTAAAGTTGAAGAATCGACCCTTGATCCTCAACTTGCAACTTGCACATTCTTTCGTCGATCGGCCACCAACCGATCACGCGCTTCTGCATTTCGCCCATCACGATGAAAGCTGTGCCCAGTTCGCGTGTGTTGCCGCAAATCTGGTAGATGGTATGATTACCTCTAAACGTTCGCACCATTAATCCTGTCCAACACACCTCCTGCAGCGCTACGATGCCGAATACGCGGTTCTTGAGTAGATTGGCGAGTGCTCCCGATGAAATTGAGAGATCGACAGTTACACGTGCCGAGTTTCCAATCGCAAGTCCTATTTCGTCGCTGGGGTCGTTGCCGTTGGTCTCGGTTCGTATTCCTCTGTTGCTGATTTTCCGTTGCAATGCTTTTGTTGCAATGCAGGCTCGCAGGGCCTGACACCAACCCCCTAACTTTCCGGAGGACCAGGGTGCACAGTTGTGCTTAGAGTCCTTCACTGGCACTCGGACGTAGATCAGCCGCTCCTAACATGGGGAACAGACGCTGTTGTGAGCCGCTCTTCCTGGAGAACAGACGCTCAGGCTTGCCGAAGCAAACCCTCCCCCCTTCCCTGTTAGCCTATGACCAAAGTTCCCACCGGGGTTGGCTATCCGATCTTCCCTAAGGTTGCTCACAGTTCCCGGCCGGTACCATGGGGAGGTAGGGATAGGAGTTTCTGGGAAGAGGCTAGTGATCTCAATGGGATATGTATAGCTCATATAAATTCAATAAAAAAAGTATAAGGGTCTGTGCCTGGGGGCACGAACAGAAGCTTGACGTGGGACCGCTAGTGGACGGAATAAATTTGAAGAGCATTTAGTTCTTTTAATTGATCGATCATCTATTATATTAACTCTTTCCGTTTTTGAATTGTAGGCGTACTAAATTTGTAGTATTTTTTTTTTTTTTCAAAGAGAAAGTTGATGAAGAGAATTGTGGTCGTTGTGGTCGAGGTTGTGGTAGAGTTCCACACGGGCTTTCTATGTGCACTCACACTATCATAGCATGTTGCATATCTTAACTGCAGGCAGAAGATGCCTTCTACCACTAGGTACGCTATAGTGTTCGCAAATGAAAAGTGGAGCCACTTTCTGATCCGAAAATCCACTCGTGTGTTACAAGATTACAACTCTGGAGAGCATTTTGTGTGGTCATTGGGGGCGTGTGGTTCTGAATTTGGACAAACAGGCACAGATAAATTCAATTACAACTCTTTACTTTAATAAGTTTGTTGACCCTGAAAGGACCGATTTCTTGCCAAAGTTGCTGATGATTTAACCTCCGAAACCAAACAGAGTGCGTCTCTGTCATTTCAAAACGTATGTAGATGACATCCATGGCTGCTTACGCTTGGTGTGTTCAGTGTAGGTGACAGCATCACGGATCTCATTTTCCAGGAACACCTTCAGCACACCTCGTAGAACAGACCGGATATACGTTTGACACCGCCACGGCGAACCAGACGACGGATGGCGGTTATCACGAACAACCTTGCGATGAGGCTCATGTTTGCGATGTTAAGCCAAGGTAGACTACCTCTTTCGACCATTCCACCACTGTGCTGTTCAGTTAGATCTTATTATTCACCGACGGAACAAGTCTGGGAGATTAAGAGTGTGGAAAGATGATGACCTGGGTCTTTGCCGCGTTGATACGGATCTTCCAGCTGATGAAATAT